CTCAACTCCTCTCATATATCCCCTGTGTTTCTTCTCCCTATTCCTAAAGAAATGGCTTGAGATTTGTAGAGTTGGTAATGTATGGTTTTTTTCTTTTTTCTTTTTTTTGAGAGACAGAGAGTGGGGGAGAGGGGCAGAGGGAGAGAGAGAATCCCAAGCAGATTCCATGCTCAGCACAGAGCCTGATGTGGGCTTTATCCCACAACCCTGAGATCATGACCTGGACAAAGACCAAGAGTCAGAGGCTCAGCCACCTGAGCCCCCAACCACTCCAGGAATAGTTTCATTGGTCCTAAGGCCAACTCCATCTTCTCTGCTTTTCTGTGGTCCCTCTAATATTGGCATCATCTTTTATTTGCTGTTTACAGGACAGGATTTGAGTCCTGGGATACCTACAACATCAAAAATCTCCTTTCTTCTCTTGTGAGTAGGACTTTGAATTCCCAAGACAGATGTAGTTTCTTTACTGGAGCAAGGGAAGGAGCCTTGGAGTGTTTTTGACAGTGAGCTGAGAAGGGACCTGCACCTAGGTAAGTGATTGATGATTATGTAAGGGAAAAGGAATGCTAATGTAAACCAGCTGCTCAGTGAGGAGACCACATCTTTGAGATGTTTGGAGGAATCTCCTCTCAAAGGCCCACAATTATTAAGAAAAGGTAACCATACCATGAACTCCCAAATGCCTACACCTCCACCTTCAACCTAATACTATCCATTCTCTTTCTTCTCATGTTTTCTGCCTATTGCTAGTAGGTTATTCTACTTTTTTGTCCTAGTAGGTAATTATAATAAGAAGTGTCACTTTTGTGTGAGATCTAATTCCTATTTGTTCACTCTCTCTTGCCTTTTGGTCTATACAGGTGTCACGACTTTAAACATTTTGGTAATCAATATGTTCAGTTTTTTTATTCATTATTTTATTCATGTATTCATTCTTTCAGCCAACACTTCCTTATATTCTGTGTTGTGGAGAATATTTTTCTAGGAGATATAGACATTATAAAATATGTCAGCTATTAAGAAACTTAGTCTAGGGATTGAGAAAAAATGGTGATGGGGATTAAGGAGTACACCTGCTGTGATGAGCACTGGGTGATGAATGGAAGTGTTGAATCACTCTATTATACACCTGAAACTAATATTACACTGCATGTTAAGTACCTGGAATTTAAATAAAAACTTTTTAAAAAATCCATAAAAATCATTCAAAATGTAGAATTAGTTGTAATTGTAGAATTAATTGCAGTTCAAATACCACAATCAGGGAAAATGGCTAAAGATGGAATAGTGGAAAAGCCTCACAGAGCTGTAATAGTTGGAGTCATGGGAGTGATTGCAGTCACCTTGGTAGAGAATTTTGGGTGTAAAGGTCCTGTGCTTGGAATGAGATAGTAGAGGCTACAGACAAGAAGAGATTGAGGTGAGGGAGAAGGATAAAGCAATTGCATGATGCATGCATTCAGCATAAAATAGAATGGGAATGAAGGAGTTCATAAACATGGATGATTTCAAGGCAGAGGTCACAGTAAGTACAAAAGTCTTGAGGCAGGCAGGCTTATTGTGTATAAGGAGGACCAAGGTGACCAGAATGTCTGGGATAGAGTAAACAAAGAGGAGAGGTGTATGAGCTGTGATCAGAGATGGGTATGTTGAAAAGAGTCAGTTTATGATGACCTTGTAAATTATGGTTGAACTTTTTCTGAGTGAAATGGAAATAAGTCAAAGTTTTTAAGCAGTATTACATGATTAGATTTTTATTTTTCAAAAATACTATTTTTTCCTATTTACAGAAGATGAAACTGAGACACAGAGACTTGAAGTAATAACTAAGTTACTTCAAGGTCAACAACTAGTAAGTATTGGAGATAGATTTAAACCCAAGCTGTAGATGCTCTTAGCTCATAAGCTTCTCTTATGAGCTCTTATATTATTCTTGCTCCCGATTTGGAATTAACCATCTCATTAAAAGCCTTAGTTTCTTTTAACAGGGAATGGTGTTGATTGACCAATATGAGTGTTAGTGTGCTTATTACTACTGGATTGTCATTGTTTTTATATCCATTAGGTAGAAAGAGACAGGAAACTATTTTTATAATTGAATCCTAAACTCTTTGAAGTCCAAAGGCATGATTCTGTCTCACTTTTCTGCATTTCACTTTTGTAACTTTTTCTTGAACAGTGAAAAAACCCTATTTCCTCAAACAACAGTATAATTATTCAAGACTTCTGTTTCAAATGCCACAGAAGTTTCAAAATTAGAATACCAACACAACTACTGACAGAAAAACCTACCTCAAGTCATATTCAAGATTTATTACATTTTTGTTTCTTTTCCTTTTTTTCCTTAGAATATGTTACACTAGGGATTTCCAGTCAGAGTACAGTTTGAAAAATTGCTAAATTAATTATTTTTTGTTCATTTTCAGCTTTAATATAGAGTTTATTTTAATTGTTGAGTTTCGGTTTTTTTAAGTTTATACTTGGAATATATCAAACACTTACGTGCTTCAAAAGTCAATATAAAAATACACTTAGAGGGGTGCCTGGGTGGCTCAGTTGGTTAAGCATCTGACTCTTGATTTTGGCTCACATCATGAACTCACATTTCGTGAGTTCAAGCCCTGCATCAAGCTCTGCACTGACAGTGTGGAGCATGCTTAGGATTCTCTTTCCTTCTCTCCCTGCTCCTTTCCTTCTCTCTCTGCTTCTACCCCATGCCTGCAGTCTCTTTTTCTCTCCCCAAATCAATAAACTTAAACCTGTCTATCTATCTATCTATCTAGAGAGAAAAGCTATGCTTGCATCCTTATCTGTTTCATTTATTGCCACTCTCACTCTAGGTAAATTTTTGGGGGGGTGGGTGTGGGGGTTAGGAGTAGTCTGATTGTTTTTCCATTTATTTTTTCAGAAATAAAGTACCTTCACATTTATATTCTCAATTCTTCTTTCTTTTACATGGGATATTATTCTCTCTGCACTCTTTGTTACTGTCCTTGTTTTCTTTTAATAATAATTGATAAGCTGTGGAAATTATTCCAGATAGAAACAGTGGCAAAAGTTTAAAAAAGAGATATGAAATTGACTTATCTTTCTTGGTGTTATATGTTTATTTTTGCCATAACTCATTAATTATTAGAATTAATAATTCCAATAATTAGTAGAGTTTTCATGCAGTCACAAAATTTGCAAATATTTTCAGTTTTATTTTTTGTTTTCCTATGCTTGTAACTTTGATACTTCTTCCTAGTCTCATCACTATGGCTACACCTTCCAGAAAATGTTCAATAGAAGTAGCACATCTTTTTTCATGATTTTATGGGCATGAATTCTTCTCTTTTATATTAAGTTTTGGAATAGTTTTATATATACCAAAAAAAGTTGCAAAAATAGTATATTCCTCATCTAATATCAATTTCTGCTATATTTTGTTGTATATTTGAATTTACCCATTTTTTATTTCCCCACCATAGTATATCTTTCATAAAATTCATGACTTATCCTTTCTTTGTTTTGTTTAATGTGAGCACCTATGCACATATCGTTATATATCCCCTTTCTCATATAAATGGTAGCAGCATACACTAGATACAGTTTACTTCTTGTTCTTTAACTTTAAAAAGTGATGAAGACCATTCAGTAGGAATATATAGATACTTCTTATTTCTTTTTTTTTTTTAATTTTTTTTAATGTTTTATTTATTTCTAGGTGAGAGAGAGAGACAGCGTGAGCAGGGGAGGGTCAGAGAGAGAGGGAGTCACAGACTGAAACAGGCTCCAGGCTCTGAGCTGGCAGTCAGCACAGAGCCCGACGCGGGGCTCGAACCCACGAACCGCGAGATCATGACCTAAGCGAAAGTCGGACGCTTAACCGACTAAGCCACCCAGGTGCCCCAAATACTTCTTATTTCTTTATACAGTTACATAGAACTCTACTGTGTGCATACACCAGAGTGAGTTCAAGTAGTATCAAGTTGGTGGCTATTTGGATTGGTTATAGTCAGTTGCTCTTACAAATAGTTCTGTAGTGGATAACCTTCTGCATAAATCTCTTCAGATTCTTTCCAGAAAGTATATGTTTGGGTTCCTAGAACTGGGATTGCTCAGTCAAAGGATAAATACTCATATAATTTTGCTAGAAACTGGCAAATATCCCCCTATGATATTTGCTACATTGAATGTGTGAGAGACGTTACTTACCTACAGCCTTCTAACAGGCTAGGTTATCAGACTTTTGGGTTTTTGCCAAAGTATACTTTGAATTTATTCCAAACTTTAAGAATCATTGACTTAATCTTTTTCTGATCCCCTTCCCCTATGCCTTCCTATATCACTTTTCAATTTCTATAGTTTATCTCTCAAATTGTACCACCATATAAGAACTATAAATTCTATTTCCATTTATAGATTAATGTCAATGTAACTCTGCCTTTTCTAAGTTTTGTGTTTTAGACACAAAAAAAGTGAATGTTTTATTTGTGGTTTCTTTCAAAATATAAATCTGGGTGTGAGAACAAGAAATTATCTCTGAAAACGGATAACTATAAAATAGATTCATCCCAATGGGTTATAATGGAAGGATTAACTAAGCATGAACTTAAACAAGGATCTCAGGAAAAACATTTTGGCAAAGTTTCATGTGTCTCTGAAGACATGTCCCCTTTCATTCAGCACACATCTCTCTCTCTACATCAAACATTTAATACCAAAGAGAAATCTTATGAATGCCAAAAATATAAGAAAGCCTATGGACAGGACTCAAAACTTACTACACATCAAGAAAGCCATACAGCCAAGAAATTTTATGACTATAAGGAATACGGGAAGGCCCTTGGTAGAATTTCAAAACTTAGTTCATATCATACAGTACATATTGGTATGAGACCCTATGAATGTGAGGAATGTAGGAAGTCTTTGAATAGTGGCTCACACTTAATACAGTATCAGATCATTTTACTAAGGAGAAATCTAATGAATTTAAGGAAAATGGGAAGGCCTCACAGTTTTTTCTACATCATAGCATTCATACAAGTGAGAAACCCTTTAAATGTAAGTATTGTGTTAGACAGTTTAATAATGGTACAGCCTTTATTCGCCATCAGAGAATTCATACTGGTGAAAACCCCTATGAGTGTAATGAATGTGGAAAGGCTTTTAGTACTAGTTCAATATTTGGAGTACATCAAAGGATTCACACAGGTGAGAAACCCAGTGAATGTAAAGAATGTGGAAAAGCTTTTCATCATTCTTCATACCTTACTCAACACCAAAGAATTCATACTGGTGAGAACACATACTTATAAATGTAAGTATTGTGTTAGGGCATTTAGTAATGTTTCAGCCTTTATTCGGCATCAGAGGATTCATACTGGTGAAAAACCCTACAAATGTAAGGAATGTGGAAGAGCTTTTGGTACTGGCTCAATACTTACAGCACATCAGAGAATTCACTCAGGTGAGAAACCATATTTATGTAAGGAATGTGGGAAAGCCTTTCATCAGTCTTCAGATCTTACTCAACATCAGAGGATTCATACTGGTGAGAAACCCTCCAAATGTAAGGAATGTGGAAGGGCCTTTCGTTGTTCATCAGAACTTTCTCGACACAAGTTAATTCATGCTGATGAGAAACTGTATGCGTGTAAGGAATGTGGAAAGTTCTTGAGACTCAATACTTCTACAACATCAGAAAATTCACACTGGTGAGAAAGCCTGGGAATGTAATTAATGTGGGAAAGCTTTTACTTGTGCAACATACCTGACCCGGCATCAGCAAATTCATACTGATGATAAACCATATACTTGTAACAAATGTGGGAAAGCTTTTCTTCATGCTTCAGACCTTACTCTGCATCAAAGAATTCATAATGGTGAGAAACTCTATGAGTGTAAAGAATGTGGGAAGGCTTTTGCAAGAGGTTCAAATCTTAATCGCCATCAAAAAGTTCATAATGGTAAGAAACAGTGTGAAAGGAAGCTTTGTATTTAAGCATATCTTTTAGGTTACATGACATGGAAGATAAACCCTACAGATATAATAGGACAAATCCTAAGAATTTATTGGTGAGAAAATGTAGAAATATAATTAATAAGAGAATGACTTATGTGTTTCACAGTTTAACTACCATAAGAATAAAATGAATATCAGAAGGCATCTATCAACAGCTCATTCCTTTCTAAATTTTAAAAACTTTCTCTTCTTAAAGATATTTTTAAATGTCTATTTTTGAGAGAGGGAGGGGCAAAGGCAGCATGAGCAGGGGAAGGGCTGAGAGAGGGAGACACAGAACCAGAAGCAGGCTTCAGGCCCTGAGCTGTCAGCACAGAGCCTGATGTGGGGCTTGAACCCACGAACTGTGAGATTATGAACTTAGCTGAAGTTGGATGCTTAACCAACTGAGTCCCCCAGGTGCCCCAATTTTTAAAACTTTCTAATCATAAGTGGAGAAAGTTAAAAATCTTTTTGTTGTATTTTTTCATATTTTAAAATACTTTAAATCAAATTTGTTTTTTATATAGCTATAATTAGTTTGGTTTGTGCATAGCTAAAATACTATATTACTATAAGTTGTACATTAAATTTTTGAATTTATTTTTTAATCACAAAAATTTAAAAAACTTTTTAAAATATTTATTTATTTTTGAGAGAGAAAGAGACAGAGTGTGAGCAGGGGAGGGGCAGAGAGAGTGATCCAGGGTCTGAGCTGTCAGCACAGAACCAAGTGCAGGGCTTGAACTCATGAACTCTGAGATCATGACCTGAGCCAAAGTCAGACACTTAACTAACTGAGCCACCTAGGCACCCCGTCACCAAATTTCTTATTCTAGTACAATTTATTCAGTATCTATTTCCTGATGCTATTTATGCACAGTTTCATGACATTTTATATTTTTAGTGTTATAAGCTTAGATTTAATGACAGCCTTTTTATACCCCAACATTCAATTTGGAAACTCTTCAACTGATTTTTTAAAAATAAATTTGTACCTGCATATCTTTGGATCTGTACCATTTTATTTAAAATATCATTACTTCAAGATATATATTTTAATATTGATAAAATGATATTATTATTTGTATATAGAAACTATATTTTTATTTTATAAGTGATATTTTATTGTAATAATTTTTTCTAAATTTTTAAATTCTACAAAGAAGCCAATAAATTTACGTTTCCTCCTCCCAAGGGGTGTAACTATTGTCACATGTTGGAACAAATCCTTTCATAAATATTTAAAAGCAAATGTAATCACATTAGTCAAATTATCTCATAAATTGCCTTTTTAATGACAAGATATGTCATACAGAACATTCCATGTGATGAAGTGTATTAATAGTGTTAATATATATGACTATACCATCATTTTTACCAAATATCTATGGTTAAGTACTGTGATTAACTCCACTTTTTGTTTATAAGGAATCTCATATTTAGCATACTACTTGGCACACTGTATTTGCTTGTCTGCTTTTCATTGTTGAGATGACCCATGCATACCTTTTAACATGTACATATTTTAATTTTTTTAACGCTTATTTATTTTTGAGAATAAGAGAGAGACAGAGTGCAAGTGGGGAAGTGGCAGAGAGAGAGGGAGGGAGACACAGAATCCGAAACAGGCTCCAGGCTCCGAGCTGTCAGCACAGAGCCCATTGCAGGGCTCAAACCCATGAACAGTGAGATTATGATCTGAGCTGAAGTCGGATGCTTAACCAACTGAGCCCCCCCCCCCCCATATTTCTTGATTTTACTGAAGTCCTACTTTTTCTTTTATGGCTTGTACTTTTTACGTTCTGTTTAATAAATCTTTTTCCCAACAACATGAAAATCTTTTTCTATGTATGTATTCTTTTAAAGTCATCTTAATTTTTACATTTAAGTGAAAATTTCACATTAGGCATTTTGTCAAAGAAAATCTTGCATTAATTTTGTGTACTATGTAAGGTAAGGTTAAAGGTTTTTTTTTTTTTTTCCACTGTGGATGTCTAATTGTCCCAGCACTATTTACTGAAAAGACCATCCCCATCCTTTCTCTACTGAGTCAATGTGGAATTTTTTTTTAAAAGTGACTGTCTTTTGATTTTCTATTGCATTCCCTTTGTGTTTTATCCTTGTACAAATATAACACTGTTCTGATTACCATAGCTGCAGTAGATAGAATTCTAAGAAGTCATCCATGATATACGCCTCCTGTTATTTCTGTGATAATGTTATAATACATGGTAAAAGAGATTTGTGGATGTATTTAAAGTGACTAATCAGAGACCTTAAGATAGTTTATTTGGGTTGGTGTAACCAAATCTAACATGAGCCCTTTAAAACCAGTGTTTTCTCTGTCTACTAGCAGAAAAGGAAGTCAGAGATATGTTCTAGCTGGTGTAAAAGAAAGCAAACATACATTGTGAATTGCCTGTGGGGGACATTTGGAAAATATCGGAGAGTGGTCCCCAGCTGACAGCCAGTAAGGAAATAGGGACTTCAGTCCTGCAACACAAGGGACTGAAATCTGCCAACAAGAATGAGCTTGGGGAGCTCCTGGGTGGCTCAGCTGGTTAAGTGTCTGACTTTAGCTCAGGTCATGATCTCACCATTTGTGGGTTTGAGCCCTGTGTCAGGCTCTGTGCTAACAGCTCAGAGTCTGGAGCCTGCTTCAGATTCTGTCTCACTCTCTGCCCCTCCCCCGCTTGTACTCTATCTTTCTCTCAAAAATAAATAACCATTAAAAAAAAAAAATAAAAAAGAATGAGCTTGGAAGTAAATTTTTCTCTGGATCCACCACATGAGAATTCAGGCCAGCTAACACCTTGATTTAAGCACCCAAAGGGGCTTAAAAAACTCCTGGCACCACAAGGACTTGTTCTAATGCCCAAAAGGGCCTAAAATATTTGGCAACCTTGGTCACTGTCAAGTCCCCAACATACTTTGACTAGTGCATGTGGCCCTGGGTCACTCTTCAGAAAGGACAGGCCTTTGCCTTTACTCCAGGCCTATTTGTCTTTATAAGATTTGAAAAGAGGCAATATTGAAAGCATTGGATGAACACTAATACATACAACATAGACCTCTGCAAAGGGACTTACATCCTCTTCCTGCTCTTCTTGTTTGTCAACAATAAATGCTAAAGCTGATTAGGATATCTTTGTCTGTTATGGAAGGTGTACAAATGTATACATTAGGGGAATTCAAATGAAAACAACTATACACCCACAAGAAAGTTTAAAAAGAAAAGGCATATAATATTAGGTGTGTTAGGAGGCAGAATAATTGGAACTATAATACAGAGCTGGTGGAATTGCAAATGGGAAACCACTTCGGAATATCATTTGGCAATATCTACTAAAGCTAAACATACGTGTAACCTATAACCCAGCAACTCCCCTCCTAGATATAGATGTAAATAAGATGACACATATACACAGCAAAAGACTACAAACGAGAATGTTCATGGAGCACTATGCCTAGCAGGCCCAAGCTGAAAACTAACCAAATACCATAAAAAATGAGAATAAACTAAATTTATCGATTAAATTCACAATAATTGAAAGAAGACCAAAGGGGAATAAAGTGTACACATAATATGATAACATTTATGAAAGCTTCAAAATCAGGCAAAACTAATCTACGTTGTAAATTAAATGATGGAGACTTTACAGGAGGTAGGTAGGGGACTTCCGGGGTGCTAGTTATATGGTCCGAGAAATCTATGAAAACTTACCAAGCTGATTCGGGCAATATTTTGTATGTTACATTCAAAAATTGTACTTTAAACACCCAACATTTTTTTTAAATCGTAAAGCAGAGTTTCGGGCACAGCAGCATAACGACAACCGAGGTCATAAACTGAAGCCAACGCACTCACACCAACACTTAAGCATCACTCTCCCTCTTTATCCTTCCCCACAATCCTGGATGCCGTTAGGGCCCAAGTATTCCTCTTGTTCAGCCTCTACAAACCCTCTCTATCATGCCCTCCACCCGTAGGTCTTGCACACTCTGCCGGGTCACCTCCTGCAGCAAAGCCCAAGCAGCGGCTGAGGGTTCAAGACCGCCCCGCTCCGCCCTCCGGGGGGTGGGTCTTAGGCCACACTACAAGTCCCAGAAATCCTCAGGGCGGAAATAAACTTCCGGTGGTTAGCCGGAAGCAGCCGGGATTCCTAGTGAGCCGGGTGAGCAACCGGGACGGCCCGGCAGGCGTGATTCGCAGTAGTGAACGGAGGAGTCGCCTGTTGTCGTCTGGATCCCGGGGAGGATTACTCGGGTTGTCCGCTCTATGGGGTCTCTCGTGTTCTGGACTACACTTTCCAGAGGCCTCCGGGTGTAACGTCACTTCCTTCTAAGGTGGTCAGTGCCGTAGTGCTGGAGCGGGTTGAACAGCGCAGCGGCGGAGGGAATGCGGCCCGTTTGTTTGTTACGGGAGAGCGGGAGGTGAGCCTGACGCTGGGGAAACTGAAGGTGAGGAGTGTGTGAACCCGGGGTCGGAGACCGGCGTGTGTGGAGCCCCAGGCCTTAACACGTCAATGCATGTGTGAGTGTGTGACGTAATGTGCATGGTTATGTTGACCACTTGAAGGAGTGGTGATTGTGTCTCCAGCTTTGAGCGTACTTGTGCGAAGCTGTGAGATTGACTCCTATTTTAATTATGTCGATTTTTTATGTGTCTATTCCCTCCCAACTGTGCCTAGCCGGGAGCCGATTGCGGGCTGGCATTGATAGAGAAATGCTCACACTGAGGCTATTTGGAGGTTCGACGGTTTCTGGAAGCTTGGGGTTGTGGGGTCTCTGTGGCTGGCTGCGTTGCAGAAACCCAAGCGGGGCTACCTGTGACTGGAAAGGCCAATACAACAGACAAGTTTTGATTGGAAAGGAATATGAGCTTTATTCAGGAGGCCGGCCAGCTGGGGAGAAGGCCAGCTCTGT